GCTTCTAATTGCAGCAGTTTCTTACTGTCTCCTTTCATCAAAGACTGATCAACTTCCCTAAATCAATCTTTATTATTTCAAGACTGTCCCCAGATTCTTTCCCAGAAATAAGAAAGTCTGTCTTCCAGAGACTATTGCAATAATTGCAGCTACAGAACTATGTCAAGAGACAGGAAGAAATTTCTATTAACCCTGGAGGTTTACATCAAATGTTTGTAAACTATTGCAATGTTTCACTACCTGGACGCAGTACATGACACAACCCTGAAGAGCCTCTGTGAAATCACGTCACAAACACATTCATGCTTTCCCTAGAAAAGCGTAAAATCACACATGTTCTGTGGCAGCCCGTGCTGGAATGTTTTCATCATTCCTTCTGTTTACCTGTGTGGACTGAAGTCCGTTATAACAGCAGTTTGAGAGTCAGGATAACAAAAGTCTGACAGCGTAGAAGATTACAGAGGACCCTGGCCACCAGCCCACTGATACTATCTTTACGTTTATTTGTTCTAGGTTGAGATAATACTGTTTTCAGAGATTTTTTTTTTTCTGTTTACCATTTCAGATCAAAGAGAACAGATCATCAGGTGACAGTCTAACTTTCATCTGCAAGAAAATGAGCTTCCTCAGTTCAGAACATGCTAGACCTTTATTAAAAACCTTCCAAAATGCTCTCAGATAAAAATATGAGTGCAATCAGTGTTAGCTTAAAATGCAAGAGCTGTAGGACAAGAAAATGCATCCTTAAACCAAAATGTGCAGCACATACACATGCACATTTTTCCCCTTTACAGCTGAATTGTGCAAGCATGGATTCACCGAGAGCTTCAGTTCCCTCTCTGGTATAGTTAAATACAATGAGTGCTTGCATTGAGCCTTCACCATGCAACACTGTGCACCAAACACACTGGGTTTCGTTCCCTTAAGTGAAAAAAAAAAAAAAAATAAACCTTCTAAAGCATAAGTGGCACTTAAAGACTAAAATATATTAATCCAATGTAACCGAAACAGTGACTTCTGTCTGTGTTTGCAGAAAAGTAACTTTGAGTGTTGTGACCTTGGGACTCACATCACTCCAACCAATAAAGTATCTGAGCACTTCACATTCTTTCATGGCCCTTGTCCTCACAATTCCCTCGTGAGACAGAGGTCCACTTTCCATCTTACCCCATCTTCATCTGAATCACACAAAAAAGTCAGTGGCTTTGTTAGGAACTGAGTGATCTTCACAGCCCCAACTCAATGTTTTATTCAGCACATAAGGCTTCTTCCTATATTGGCTGCTCCAAGTCAGCAAATACAACACAGATTTGCAATAACAACACTTTAAAACTCAGTAACACTCTGTTTCATAGTTCAAAGCATGCAGGAAGAGAAAAGGAAAACCATGTTATGAAGACTAGCTGTGAACAGTCAGGGAGAGTACTACAACTTACCCTTAATTCTGTGTCAAGGGGAATGGGATCTCAAAAAAACGACCTTACCAAGCACAGGACTTACATCTCCCTCAGCATCATGAAGCCAACACCAAGCAGACAGGCAGGGCAGACAAACCCTAAAAAGAAGATCCCCAAGAGAAACACCTGGAAGATGGCTAGCACGTGCCTTTGGACACCACTCCAGGGAAAAATGACTGTCAGTTGTTCAGAAAGTGCATATGATCATATCCAGAATATATACTGGATACCAACACGCTCTGCTGTGAGCAACATTTCACTACAGGGACAGCTTATCTTGTGAAGGAACTTTGAACAGCTTCATCCCTTTCTCCTCCACTGAGCAGAAACGTTACAAAAAAGCAAAAGTCTAGCTATTGGGATAGATGGTCAGTGCATCAAAACATCCTGCATTAAAACCAATTTTCATTCTGCCTTTTATAAAGATCAAAGCCTCTATTTTATCTCATTCATTAACAGTGTGATTTCAGTGACACTCTGGTTGCAGTGGTCAACTCATTGCAAACGCTTACACAAATTCTGCTTTGGCTAAGGACAAGTTCCTGATGTCCATGAAAGGAGACAAAACCCCTGGAGATCTCTTTCCATCCAGTGTCTCTGCATTTCAGAAACGGTCAGGAAAAGGTAGAAAGTGTCCTTCCGACTGAAATTTCTCAACCACAAAACAGAATTTGAAACGTTAGAAAAATTAATGCATGATGGAAGCATATATTCTTTAGTTTTATTAAGTCAAAGTAACAGTATAGCTCATATATCTGACACAGTAGGAAGACGTGGGTGACTTGGAGACACTGCCTGATTGCAGGAAATCGATCAGAAAACAGCATTATTAAATCACAACACTTGCTTCTTTTTCTTTAATATACATTAAGCGTGCAACTTAATCCACTTAAGATGATTCTGTATCTGAATGACAGAGGGGATTTCCTGTCACCTTCTCTTAGGAGACAGATGAGAAATACTAAGCTACTGGTCTGCCTTCAACCACTAAAGACAAGGCAAAACAGAGACTGGGAATTCTGCAGCCCTGCAAGATGGGATACTGCAGGGCTGATTCTAAGCTAGGTGAAATTACAATTCAAATATTGTTATAACACCAGATATACCTGTCAATGTCTGGAACACAAATATATATGGTTCCCAAATTTCTGTTCTCAGAGCAAGGTTGGTATGCCATGTATTACAGAAATCATACACTGCAGACCCAACACTTCTTGGAAAAATCAGTCTTACCGTGTAGAGTCAATTTGTGCACAAGCAGTGATCCCGTACAGGGAACTTCTGCGTGTCCAGCAGCTCTAGGAAACTTATAAACATCACCAGGGTACCAGTTCTTTGTCAATGAACTCAATGGTCTTACAATATCAGTAATAAGTACTTGCAAGCAACACACTAACAGATCACAAAGCAAGAAAAGAAAAATCATGCATCAGACAGAAAGAAGGATATTTTGGAAAACATGTGGCAAAGCTCTATTGGCCAGAGTCTCACCTATGAAAGCAAATTATTCCAGTATGGACATTTAAATACCACATATAACAAGGGTATAAGGATGATGTTTAAAGAATTTATAATGGGTACTAACAGAGGCTTCCAGTGCATGTCTCAGGATATCTACCTTGAGAATTTTAAATTGAAGAGTCTCCAAAATTCTTGTCTAATGCTACTCCCACGTGAAATTTATGGAACAAAAGAATAATGACACATACTACTTCTCTCACTAAGCAACGAGAAGTAGTGTTATTCCGAAAGAAAAAGTAAAACCATCAATCATATCATGTAAATATTTTAAATGATAAATGTGTATTGAGAATCACAGGTACCAAGGTGATATTGTTGCTGCATAGTTTAATTTTCAAGGGAGTTGTGAAATCCACCAGTAGGCCTCAGACTGGTTAGAATTTTCTCTATTTTATACCATTCCAAAAGCTATACTGTTCATGTCCCAATGAAAACTATGTGGCAAACTAGGAAAAAACTTTACTATGTTGATTCTGAGAACTTTAATGCAATGCCTTCACACAGATGCTAATACTATATCCAAAAAAAACATGTATCAATAAAGGCTTATTCTTAAAACATGTTATGTTTGGTTTCCAATGTATACCTTGAAAACAAATTTATCAGCTGTAAAATAAAGAAGAACATCTCTGTTCCCAGTGACTGGAGTCCTATGCTTTGGTTTTCAATACTGATTATAGGAAATTTCTCATTTTTTTGCTGAAAGTAAAACAAAAATAACTCTAAAACATGAAATGCATTATAGTGCATGCTCAAATAGATGACAGTGTATGTATACACACAGATCTCAATGCCCTTTATTTTATTTATAAAAAATTATTTGTAAGTACTATATATATATATTATCCCAAGTATTGGACTTTTTTTTTCCTAATTTCCTCTCACTTTTCAGCTTGGCTATTCCTTCCTGTAGTAAACCACTGCCTATACCAGTAATCACATTTTTCCAGAATGGTAGCAGCAATGCTTTGGAGTATTTAAATTACCAGCAACTTAAATTAACACAGATTGAAACATTATCAACCACTACTACATTGAATAAAGCTTTCAGACTCTACTTGTTACAAAGGTAAGGCAAAAAAAACTTCAGGGAAATGGCACAATGCATAGAAAAAAAATGGTTTGAAGGAACGATAATCATGGTACCACAATAATCCAAGCTTCCAGTGTCAGGGTCATAATCACAGTGCCCGAGGATTCTCTCTGTCACACTAGTTTACATCTGCCAGACTGTCACAAGTCTGTGCTTTCAGTGTGTAATTGCATCAGCAAGTGCAATACTCATTTCTTACCCCGTGGTGACATTTTTATTTATGTATTTAAAACAGGTACTTCAACAGTTACTCAGTGCTACAAAGGTGAGGCTTTCCTGATGCCTAAAAGCATTGCAGCAAAGGATTCAAGCATGACACACTGCACTGCTGCTACCACAGTGATGCCAGCAAAAGTGATCTCTCTCACTTTTTTTTCCCCACTTTATCAGTAAATCAGTTTATTTTTTTAAAATATAATTTCAGACTTTTTCACCCGATGGTAATCTAGCCTAATTTAGTCTTCCATCTTCAAGAGTGGGATTTTTAAACTGCGACATTAAATCTGTACCATTACAGCCTCCAACAGGTTCCCTCACTTTGCTAGTTAATCACAGTCTTTTGATTAACTCTTCCTTTCAACTCTTTAATTGTCTGTCTTTGGCTTTTACCACCAAAGTCCAGCAAACTGACAGTTGCTTCACAGGCACTAGACAAATGTTTAACATGTTACATGAGAAAAGGTTAAGTACAAACACAGCTAATAATCTGGGCTCTTTGGAGGTAGTGTCATATCTGAATAAATCTGACAGCACCTCATTGTAAAGGGCAAGAATTTATTATTGTCCAGGTTAAACGCTGTGCTCTTATCCTTGCTGTGGCTATAACGTAAGAAAGGCTCTTTGTGTGCTGAAACAAACATTAAAGTGCCAACATACACAAAATGTATAAGGTGTCTGGGGATTATTCTTCAGCAAATAGTTTAACTTACTTTGGCTTCAGTCTCTCCCCTGTGAAGTGTATACAAATGATGGACGGCACTTTGTGATGATGACCAAGGATGTGTCAGTATTTGAAAAACATGGAAATCATGGCCTAATGTGTCAGTAGTGACCAGCAACATCCCTGGGTAAAAAAAAGAAAAAGAAAAAAGAAACACAAAAGCACAAGAGATTAATCACTGCAAAAGAAGAGGCTTAAGAATGTCTATCTAAAAAACCTAGCATGGCTTACATTTCGTTTTCTGGAAACAAGAGGAAACAGTTACAGAAAATTACTGGATTGAAAGGGCTTCACATCATAAAAATGAATCAGAACTCCAACTGAAATCATATTAACAGTGTTACTACTTCAGTATTACAATATAAATCTATAAAAGCCAACTGAAAAATCTAGGAACATTCAAACTAAAGTTGAGAACTTGTGTAACCAATATGAAGCACTGAAGTGATGAATGTTAGGAATGAAACCTCAAAATGCTCTTCCAGAGCTCCATTGTGTTGATTCTCCACCGAAAGCATTATCAAAATCTTTTATCCTTCAGGAAAAGAACTTAGGTCTCCACATTTTACACGACACCTATGCAAAGGACAAGCGATTCCCTTATATCCGTTATAAAAGAGCATTCATTTTCTCAGTTAGTTTACACATGGCCCTGCGATTCATCCTTCCCTCTTCTGCTCACTGCTGCTAAACAAATATATACAGAACAAGTTTGAAAGCCCTCAGACCTTACCATTAAAGTCAGAGCTTATGCCACTTCTAAATTTAGAATTAAACTGAAAAAAACACCCTATCTTCTTCTGTACTGAGCAGCAGAGAAGCACTCTCTTAGTAAAAATTAAGTTTAACTTTTCTACTGAACCACCATTGTAACATCACTAGGTTGGTACCCTGAGTGTTTTCTCTTCTTGGCAATCCTGGAATGTCCCTTCCCTTAAGACCAAATAGGAAAATTTCAGCAGCCAAAGCCTTGACCTTCTAGGCCCAACATCACTCCCCAGGGTCTCCTCCTCCGAGGCTGAAGCAGGTTTGTGAGCACGTGTTGGTTCATGGGAGGAACAGCACAGTTCCGAAGGCTCCAAACAGGATAACGCCGCATCACTGCAGACTTTGTGTGAGTAGGAACAGGCATACGCCTCGGTTTCTCTTGACCATAACTCTTACAAAAAAGGGATCTTGTGAAGGTAAACCAAGGCTTTCAAGACTGTGAAGCCCACCAACAGCAAGGTACAAAATCAGAGAGAAATCCAAATTGCATTTAGAGACAGAGTTGCCTACAAGTTTCCTTCTCAGCTTGACCACTGATGGTGGTAGGGCTTGGACAGAGAGCAAGGCCACCCACACTGCACACATCCATTTCCTCAGAAATCACACAAATGCAAAATCTTAAATCTGACCTCAGCAAGATTCCCTCCAGTAGACATACTTTTACTGTTACAGGCTGTTGCTCCGATTCCGAGTGTTAGAAATGAAAGAGAGTTTGTTATGGAGCTCAGAAATCCGTGAGTGCATTTGGGTATTATGTTTGGGCGGTAAAGCATGTGAGTTGAGGTTGGTCTGGATGTTAATGTTGGCTTAACTGGCAATTTCCTTGATTTGTAGTGACTGTGTTGATAGGAAATACAGCTAAAGTTGCTCAAGTGCAAGTCAGCCAAGTCTTTAGTGTGGGATTATGCACACAATTTGCATTAATTCTGTTCTGAAACATCACAAAATACACTTCCCTACTAGTGAAGTGTGCGGTCCTCAGTAATATATAGCATTTCCAGTGGAGAAACCTGAAAGCAAATAGGGGTTTGTGTGCTAAAATTAGGCGGAGCGAGGATATTCCAAATGATCTAATTCAACACAGTAAGGATTTATTTTCTATGTTCCCACGTTTGTCTCTCCTCACACATCAGATAGCTTTATATAGAAGCTGAGTGTGCTTTTGGTCCTTTTGAGCTCTTTCTTCTTCCAGATGGAAAAGACCTTTGCAGAAAGAGAAGATGGAAGAGATGAATACATAAGGCTTCTCTCAGCAGTGAGCAGACAGCCTCAGCAAACCTAATTTATTTTTTTTCTTCCCCAAAAGTGCTAAAAGTCTTTTATAAATACAGACACAGAACACATCATTCTTCATGTGTATCCCATCACATGGCACAGTGCAATGAAGATCATTAAAAAAAATAAAAATAAAATAATCAACTTTAAATGAGCCAAAAATCTGTCTGGAAGCTGGAGACAGAAAGCTGTGTAATAATCATAAGCCAGTGAAAACACAGGCACTACCACACTGCGTTGTCCATCAAATCCATTGGTTGTTTAACTAACCGGTATCTCGTTTCCAATACTGGCTAGAAATGCAGGTGTCTGCGTGAGGTGCAATAAACCCCACACTATGCCCATGTGATATAATTTCATCCTTCTTCTCACAAAGATTTTTTTTCCCAAATCTGAAATCTCTATTTACCCCAAGCAGGGTTCCCCTGGAGAGCTCACTTTGGGACCATCCACTACAAGGTTATGTCACAAATCCACGAAGCATACGGTGTTACCTGTTCATTCTGATGACATGCACCGGATCTGAACAATGAAGCTGTGAGACGTGCTCGCTTATCTGCAGGTCTGATCAGTTCCACATGATGAACGTAGTTCTTGGTTCCATATTCAAGTGTGTTGCCTTCGGGGTTTTTTTGGGTTTTGTGGTTTTGGGGATTTTTTTGTTTGTTTTTGCTAACTTGAAGGAGTTCAGAGGTGAAAGATAATACATTTGTGGGTGGAAGGAACTGGCTTAAAAATAGAAAGATGGGTGGTATCTGATTTGGCAATTTTGCATGCCTAATCTGAAACCCTGCTGGATGTCACTGTTTGGAGTAAGTGCATTTTATGAGATGAAAGCCGAAGGAAAACAGACCCTTTGCTTATATTAGCAACTATTTTTCAGTAAGTTAAAGAAGGACCTTTCATACTCACATTTGCATTTGAAATACAAATATATACTTGCAGAACTTGGATCAACACAGAAGGCCCAAGCACAATACCACAGATGTGAAAGAACATGTATTTATAAAACAGCATTTTGAAATATCTAACTACTGTTATTCAAACAATAAATCACGGCTGGTTTAGAACATTTGACTTGAGTTTTGGTGTGGGATTTTCCAGCTCTCATTACTTCACACTGAGGACTCACAGTTTTCAATGGCTACAGCTCAGCCATTTCGTTTCTCTCTCCATCTCACTGCAAGGAAAGGCCACTGCCCCTGCACCACCCCAGCAGAAATACCTCATCCCAGCCGAGAACCATGAACTTCAATCCTGGTCATTACCTCACTTTCACTTTCAAGTGCAGGAAACTTCAACTCAGCTTTCTAAAAGACCTTGTGACAGCTTTCCCAAAAAGTTGTTTAGACGGAAATATGAATTAAAGCTGTCATAAGTTCAGTCCAAAATGTTTGCTCTTATGATGTACTTTATGTATGAATAATCATAGATGAAAAGTGAATAATTCTCAAGGATTTCCTGCTTATTTTTCAAACTGGCATTAATCCCTGTTTAACAGATAACATCTGAAATCAATTGGGAGTCTTGCATACACAGAACCCAGTGGAAATTTATGTGTGAAGCAGATTTTACTTAGTATGTACCTAACTGCAAAAATTTTTATTTTGCTTATCCATAATATAAGGGGTGCAGCTAGGTTAAATTAATGACTGTTTTGCTCTGTGGTTTTTCAAATCCACAGAGATGATTAAAATCCAGTTTAAAAGGAACAGATATCCTAGATGGGGAAAAAAAAAAATAAATTACTGAAGCTTTGTTTTACCTGACAGATACATTTGCCTTAATTTTGCAGCTTCCTACTTTTCATGCGTTCTGTTTGGGAAACAATAAGCTGCTTTCAGGATAGAAACGTTAAAAAATACGGAGAATATATGCATAAAAGGAAAAAGTAGTACAGATGTAGACTGTGGGTTAAGAGCTATTTATGCAGTATCAGAAGACTAAACCAGACTCTGGCCTGGCCATAAACTAAGCCCACGCCCTAAATGAGGTGCCAAGCCACAAAAAGCATTTGCGTCAACTGGGAATACAAGGAAAAGAAGGACTTCTAATTATAGGGCCTGGAAGCGGAAGCCCAGAGTGATTAGGAGTTTAGGCGCTGCTGTATGTTTATCTGGGAGCTTCCTCTCGCTCTCTCTCAGCCCAGGTTTGATAGATGAGGGTTGGCCTAAAGGGTGGGATTGAAGTTGCTGATGGTACACAGAGTTCTCCACGAGCCGAGGGAGACGGAGACGGAATACTAAGGCTTCTGTGGCCTTGTAGGAACATAACTCTCTTCAACCAGGCGTCAGCTGGTTAGCCCAAACGGCAAAATTAGAGAGCAGCAAATCTCAGTTGGGTACTAGCTATAAAATCTAGGAAACCTGAGTAGCCTAAGCATCTCCACCACATCCTATTTATAACACCTACCTAATTGCATAGTTGTTTATTATATGCATACAAATGAGGTACACACAATTTCACCTTGGCTTTAAGTTTCACGAGTTTGAAATGATGCCATCTTGCAGAGTAACAGAAGGGTTTTTCCACCTTCCAAAACAATGTCGTCCCGTAATTACACACTGAAGAACTCAACACGTTCAAGCTGTGTTGGATTTGTTTTAAAAACACCAAGGGCACAAATGTTAGGAAAGCAGTCGTGCATCTGCATGGAGGAAACATATATTCATGGATATATTTCATTCAGGAATGCAACTCTGACATCTGCATGCACGTATACCATACGGGGACCTATACAGCCATGGCACAAACACACTATTTACACAAACAGTGCTTAAAAAAATACCAACTTCTCAGATTTTATTTTTTAAATATGAGCATAGATACTGTGCAACATTAATATTACGCTCTGTATGTTTTCAAATTACAGGATCAGAGAGCTCAGCAGAACCGCGCTGACTTACAGTCGGCTCCTGATTCAGTCCATACGCGCTCCGCTCGGCATCCCTACCTTCCGCACGCTAACCGTACGGACTGCTGTTCCACTGAGCTCCCTTGCAAAAGCTTGTATCTTGTTAAGATTTGACAAAGTTTATATGATCCATAGTTTTAGGAAACATATGACCTGACCTATGAAC